TCTTTTTTTTTATTCGTGATCAAATCAAATGAAGTGGAAAAAGAAAAATAAAAAAAAAAAATAATAATAACATATAGCGGCAATAAAAAAAAGGAAAAAAATGAAAACGCAAAAAAATAAAAAAGTGGCAATAAAAATAATTAATCGCATGATATTTTTCTTTTTTTTTTAGTTTTATAGATGAAACTATAAAATTATAGTAGGGACTATAAAAATAAAAAAAAATTTTTTGTTTGTTTATTTGCAGGACTTCGAAAGGTTTATCCATATTATTTTACATTCACAACATTTACCAAAGGAAGATGGGTCGGTGAAAAAATAATTGATGTTTTTGCAAGAGAATTTCGCGCTCATCCCGCCGAAGAATACGTAAGTTAATACAGTGCCGTAATCAGGTTTCTTTCTTCTTTTTTTTAACCTTAAAATAAATAAATAATAATAATAATAATGTTTTATTTCAACGATTTTCACGTATGAAAGAAAAAATTTCTAGAATAAAATTTTCGTTTTTTCCATTTTCTTCGAACGAAAAGTTTTCTACAAATCCCCGTGTAATTTATCGAATGTACGTGTTTTTGCGTGTGCGTGTGCGTCTGTGGGTGTGCGTGTAGATGTGGGCGTGAGTTAAAACGAAAAAAAATTTGAATATTTTTCGGGGAAAATTTGAAGGGAAAAAAATTTTTAAACATGAAATCGAGGATTTATTTTTATCTTCTCCCACGTGTAATTTTTCATATTAAACGTTTTGTTTGTTTCTTTGCTCTTTTCCTAAGGGTTTAATTATTATTATTATTAATAATAATAAAATATTTGTTCCACGTTAAAAATTTGAACTTTGTATAATAAAGGAAAGAAATTTAATAATAAAAAAAAAGGCTTATAAATTTTTTAACGTTTTTTTTGTTTGTTTGTTTGATAAAAAAAAAGTTTTCTTATCAATCTTGTTTCTTATTGACAAAAAAAATAAATAAATTGATGAGAATTTTAAATCGGAGCAAAAAAAAAAAAAGAAACGAAAGAAATCTAGACAAAATTCCAAAAAAAAAAAAAATTTTATATAAATTAAACGACGCCATTTTGCCAAAAAAAAAACAAACAAACAAACGAAATGAACGATTTGAGTTTTCTTTTCGTATGGAAATTTTTGACTGGAGTGAATAATAGCAAAAAAAAAATTTAATTCAATTTAATTTAATTTCTTTTT